AATTAATTAATGTGAGATCAAGGGCCAATAAGCCAACAATCTCCCCCTTTTTGATGATGACAAATCATTTAAAGAAAAATTCATAAAAACCAATAATACAACATCCATGTAATAATATCACTACATACTAATATATTATCATAAATTTCACTCAAGAGCATATTCTCCCTTATATTAATGTCTCAAGAAATTATGAAACACCAAGTAAATGATTCATAAATTATAAAATAACAAATTTAGAACATATTTTTCTTAATTTTCTCCCCCTTTGTAATCATCAAAATGAACAATTGAAAGAGAATGCATTTAATAATGACATAATGGCTCCCCCTAAAAACATGCATTCAAAAATTATAAAATTCAAGATATATCACAACGAATAATACCAAGCTCAAGCCTATTTTTGCAAAAAATTTCTTCATTCAATGGCTTGGTGAAAATATCGGCCAGTTGATTATTAGAGTTTACAAAATCAAGAATAATATGTCCATTTTGCACATGCTCTCTAATAAAATGATGTCTAATGTCAATATGTTTAGTTCTAGAATGATGAATAGGATTTTTAGTTAAATTAATAGCACTTGTATTATCACAAAATATAGGCACACTATGAAACTTTAATCCAAAATCACAAAGAGTTTGTTTCATCCAAAGAATTTGAGCACAGCAACTAGCAACCGCAATATATTCCGCTTCGGTAGTAGATAAGGCAACCGAATTTTGCTTTTTACTAAACCAAGAAACTAAGGAACTACCAAGAAATTGACAAGTTCCACTAGTACTTTTACGATCAAGTAAGCTTCCGGCAAAATCTGCATCAGAATATCCTACCAATTTAAATTCAACATTTCTAGGATACCACAATCCTAGATCAATAGTTCCAAGCAAATATTTAAATATTCTCTTAACGGCATGTAAATGAGATTCCTTAGGACAAGATTGAAATCTAGCACAAAGACATACACTAAACATAATATCGGGTCTACTAGCGGTCAAGTAAAGTAAAGATCCAATCATACCTCGATAAGCTTTAATATCCACACTTTTACCTTTTTCATCCTTGTCAAGCTTAGTGGATGTGCTCATGGGAGTTCTTGCAATCTTACCTCCATTGAACTTGAATCTTTTGAGCAAATCTTTAGTGTATTTCTCTTGATTGATGAAGATACCATTCTTGAGTTGTTTGATTTGAAGTCCAAGAAAGAAACTGAGTTCTCCCATCATACTCATCTCAAACTCACTATGCATACATTTAGAAAATTCTTCACATAAAGAAGGATTAGTAGAACCAAATATGATATCATCCACATATATTTGCACTAATAGCATATCGTTTTCTTTAATCTTAATAAAGAGTGTAGTGTCGAGTTTGCCCATTTTAAAATCATTCCCAATAAGAAAATTACTAAGTCTATCATACCAAGCTCTTGGAGCTTGTTTTAAGCCATAAAGAGCCTTTTTCAACTTATAGACATGATGAGGAAATTCTACATTTTCAAATCCGGGAGGTTGTTCTACATAAACTTCCTCCATAATATAACCATTCAAAAATGCACTTTTCACATCCATTTGATATAATACAAAATTTTTGTAAGAAGCAAAAGCAAGTAACATTCTAATAGCTTCTAATCTAGCAACGGGTGCAAAAGTTTCTTCATAATCTATGCCTTCCTCTTGACAATAACCTTGAGCTACAAGCCTAGCTTTATTTCTAATGATATTCCCATTTTCATCCATTTTATTTCTAAAAACCCATTTGGTTCCAATAATAGAAGTATTAGATGGCCTATGGACTAATTCCCAAACTTTGTTCCTTTCAAATTGATTTAGCTCTTCTTCCATGGCTAAAATCCAAAACTCATCATTTTCGGCATCCTTAAGACTTTTTGGTTCAATTTGAGAAACAAAAGCAAGATTATTAAATAAATTAATAGAAGAGCGAGTTTTCACACCTTGTTCGAGATCACCAAGAATCAAGTCCTTGGGATGAGACAAGGCATACCTCCATTCTTTTGGCATTGATGAAGAACCTTCTTCCTTTAAGCTCATCTCTTCTTTACTCGTAACAATTTCTTTGCCGTTGTCACTAACGAGTAAATCTCCAAAATTTCTTTCTAAATCATCACTACAAATAGACTCATTAGAAATATTATTGCAAGATTCATCAAATACCACATGCATAGATTCTTCAATAACTAAAGTTCTCTTATTGAAAATTCTATAAGCTTTACTAGTAGATGAATAGCCAAGAAAAATACCAATATCCGTTTTTGAATCAAACTTTCCAAGCTTTTCTTTGTTGTTCAAAATAAAACATTTACAACCAAAAACTTTGAAATACCCAACATTTGGAATTTTGTTATGCCAGAGTTCATAAGGAGTTTTATTTAATGAAGGTCTAATTAAAACTCTATTTAAAATATAACAAGCGGTATTAACGGCTTCCGCCCAAAAATATTTAGGTAAATCATACTCATTTAACATTGATCTAGCAAATTCTTGTAAAGTACGATTTTTCCTTTCAACCACACCGTTTTGTTGAGGAGTCCTTGGAGAGGAGAAGTCATGAGAAAAACCATTATCTTCACAAAATTTTTCAAAGGCAACACTGTTAAATTCTCCCCCATGGTCACTCCTAATTTTAGTAATTAAAAACCCTTTTTCATTTTGAACTCTTTTTACAAAACTAGCAAATCTTTTCAAAACATCATTCTTATGTTTTATCATCAAAACCCAAGTAAATCTTGAAAAATCATCCACTATCACAAAAGCATAATAATTTCCTCCATAACTAGCTATTTTAGAAGGGCCAAATAAGTCTATATGGAGTAGTTGAAGAGGTCTAGTAGTAGAAATCATATTTTTAGATTTGAAAGAAGACTTAGTTTGCTTACCCATTTGACAAGCGTCACAAATTTTATCTTTTTCAAATTTAAGTTGAGGGAGACCTCTCACTAATGAATTTTTTGAAATATTTGAAATCAAGTACATACTAGCATGTCCTAGTCTTCTATGCCATAGCCAAGAGTTATCAATCAAAACCGAAAGACATTTATCATTTGTAGGACAATCATTCAAATCAATAGTATACACATTATCGTCTCTATTTCCTACAAACAAAACTTTTCTATCACTAGCATTTTCAATTATGCAATTATTCTTATCAAATACAACTCTAAAACCTTTATCACATAATTGACTAATGCTAAGTAAGTCATGCTTTAAACCATCAACTAACAATACATTTTTAATGAGAGTACAAGAGTCATTACCTATAGTACCCTTACCAATTATTTTACCCTTCTTGTTATCACCAAAGGTTACTAAGCCACCATCCTTCTTGGAAAGATTGACAAACTTGGATGGATTACCCGTCATGTGTCTTGAGCAACCACTATCCAAGTACCACTTATTTTTCTTGGAGGCTTTCAAACAAACCTAAAAACAAAGATATTCAAAATTGACCTTTTGGTACCCATACTTGTTTGGGTCCTAGAAAGTTAGTATTCACAAATTTAGGAATCCATTTCATATTTGCATTCATATTAAAGACATTGTATTTAGATAAGTAACAAGAATAATCTTTATGTCCAAACTTACCACACGAGAAACAAACGACATTATGCAAGAATTTATTTCTTGGACTAAATTTGTGTATTCTATTTTTATTCGAAAAATTATTTTCTAAAACATTGTTAAACTTTGTATTTTGAGAAACTTTTCTTCCTAAATGAATATTTTGAGAATTTTTCAATTTAAAGCACTTAGGTCTAATATGACCTTCAACACCACAATAATGACATATAGGCACAAATCTAGATTTATCATACTTAGATACAAATTTACATGTGTTAGATTTAGGCAAGATAGGGGATGCTTTAACAAAGATTGTTTTAGAACTTGAAGGTGTAGAACATTCATCAATATAGCCTAATCCTCTTTTATCACCATATGACTTACCTCCTTCAAGTATTTTATCTAATTTTTGAGCACCTATTGTTAACATTTTAATAGATTCCTTAGCCCTACCAAGTTCTTGCAAATTATTTGATTCATTCTCTTTGAGCAATTTAATTAATTTATCTTTTTCACCACAATCATGCTCAAGAGTCTTGACTTTATCAATTAATGCATTTTTCTCATCACAATCAAATACATGCTTTTCACAAGGTACATCAATTTTAACAATATTATGATCCTTCTCCTTCAAGCAAGAAATTTCATTTAGCAAAGACTTATTTTCAATAATTGAAGTCTTATATTTCTTTTTAAGCACAACATACTTTGAACTAAGTTTTTCTAAATCAATTGTCATCTCATCAACAAGTTTAAATAATTCATGATAAGAAAGAGATTCAAGAGTTACCTCATCTTCTTGTTCATCTTCTTGTTCATCCTCTTTGTCACTATGAGCCATGAAGCAAAAATTTGCAACTTCTTCATCACTTCCACTTGCACTTTCATCACTATCATCCCAAGTAGCCTTCATTGCTTTCTTCTTGGATTTCTTAGATGATTTGAGGAGAGGACAATCCGTTCTTATATGACCCGGCTTTTTACATTCATAACATATTACCTCATCGTTTTTGCTCTTTTCACCTTTTGACTCTTTTTGATTTGTGAAATGTTTTTTTAATTGTTTCTTCCTTTTAATAAAATTTTTATACTTACGTGTGAAGTAGGCGACATCATCTTCATCAAGGACGTCCTCATCTTCAGAGTCAACTTTGATGGATTTTAGGGCTATACTTTTCTTCTTTTTGGATTCTTCTTCCATGTGCCCGTTCATGGTAATCTCATGTGTCATGAGAGAACCAATGAGTTCATCCAAAGGAAGCTTTGTGAGATCCTTTGCTTCTTGAATCGCCGTCACTTTTGCCTCCCAACTTTTAGGCAGAGACCTAAGAATTTTTCTTACATTTTCGGAGGTAGAATATACTTTTCCAAGATTTTTCAAAGCATTTAAAATATTAGTAAATCTAGTAAACATATCACCAATAGGTTCATTTTCCTCCATTTTAAATAGTTCATAATTATGAACTAACATGCTAATTTTTGTTTCTTTAACTTGATTGGTTCCCTCATGAGTTACTTCAAGAGTTTTCCAAATTTCATATGCCGAAGAACACATACATACTCTATTAAATTCATCATTACTTAAGGCACAATACAGACAATTGATAGCACTAGCATTCAAAGAACATTTTTTCATATCATGCTCATCAAATTCATTTTCTAATTTAGGCACCTCAATATTATTAACAATTTTTATTGGAATGTAAGGACCATTACTAACATTTAACCACAATTGATAATCAACGGATTGCAAATAAATTTTCATCCTAGCTTTCCAACATGTATAATTTGTTCCATCAAAATAAGGTGGCCTAGAAGTTGATTGTCCTTCACTAAAACCATTTTTAACACGTAGGTTTGCCATAAGCTCGAACAATAAAGTTTAGATAAAAAATCTATAGGAGCAACCTGCTCTGATACCAATTGTTGGATCGGTATGGCAACCCTAGAGGGGGGGTGAATAGGGTTTTAACGATAAAAGTGTTTAAACTTGATTAATTTTTCTAATGATAAAACTTTTTACAAATAAGTAGAAGATGATAATTACTAAAACAAAATAATTCAAGTCAAAACAATAATCAAGTAGAACATGCAATAAACATAATAATAATCTTGAAATTAAATAGGAAAGAGTTAGAGAAAATGACACCGTAGTTTTATAGTGGTTCGGTCAAACTCGACCTACTCCACTCCCCAAGCGCCTCTTGGGAATTTGAATAAAGAACTTTTCCGACTCTTTCCACGGATCAGAGCCAAACCGGTACACCGCTCTTTTTACGAGTTCAAGAGCAAACTCAATCCTTTCAACGACGCAGGATCAAACCGATACAAGTATTTGAGTTTGATAATAACACACCACAACTCTCTCAAAGAGTAGATTTACAATTTGGGATACTGACAACTATTTCCTCACAATATAATAATAATCCCTCTCAAGAATAAGATGAAAAGAAATAAACTTGTAAGCTTGGAGAGAGCAATAAACAATGGAGACTTTGAACAAATGAGGATTGAAGAATGTATGTAAGTTGTATATATAAAAATGTGGGGAAGATGAGTTTATATAGAGGAGAAAAGTGGCAAAATGTAGGATTGAATATTGACCATTGGATTGTGTTAGGAATAATGGAAGGTGGAGATTAAAAGTAATTAAGTAAGAAAATTTTCTAAATTCATTTATTTCAAAATTTTAATATAATAGTAATATAATATAATAATAATAAAAAGTTATGTGAGTAACGGTAAAATGTAATTCAAAATTTATTATAAATATAATAATATAATAATAATAAAAATGATGTGAGTAACTACCAAAATTTTAAAATATAATAATATAATAATATAATATAGTAATAATAAAATTCGATGTGAGTAACGGTTATATTCAAATTTATATTTGTAAAAACAATTTTTATTTAGAAATGTAATAATAAGAAAAACTCCACCATGTGTTATTCTTCCAATATTATAAATGTCATACTTTGATATATTTTGATTTGTCCATCATTTTGATTTTGTTGCCACATCATCACGTCGGGTATGTTGTCTCGACTCTAATTTCTTCGTTTTAGCTCTGATTTGAGTAATTGAAAAGTTGTTGTAATCGTTATTCCCGACCTTATACTGTGGACAGTTCAAAAAACTGAAAATAGTTAATAATTAAAAGTAGGTTTGTTATCATCAAAACATCAATAATTAATTCATTGAAATTAATTAATGTGAGATCAAGGGCCAATAAGCCAACAAGTCTATGGAAGCATGAAAATTGATATTAAAAAAGTACTCCAATTAAAGTAGCTTAACTAGTTAAAACATTTATCTTCGACCATTAAGTCGAAAGTGTTGATTAAGAGGTTTAAATTCTCACCACTACAGAGTTGAACTAAAAGAAATGATTAAATGATTGGAGTATGTAAATATGAACGTAGCTGAGTTGAAGTATTCAAAAGATTATACTCTTCATCTAACTAAAAGATGAAAAATGAATAAATGAGTATAGTTTTCTAAAACTGACTAGGTCATTGAAACAAGAAGATTGAAATTCAAAATAGATTAACGAAATCAAAATCAAAAGAAGAAGAAAAACAGATTGATTCATAAATGAGCTATAGAATCATGAAATTTCCCCCTAAAATAAACCATGATTCCAACGATTTGAGTTCAGTTCAGTTCAGTCCAACACATTGATGACTACGAAATACCAAAAGGAAAATCAATCTGATTCGATTATCGATTGAAACAGAAAAAGAGGGAAGAACAAAGAGAAAGAGAGAACAAACATCGTCGTTGCCACCATTAATGCTTGTTCTTGGTGGACCTTCAGTTCCCATGAATGGCTGAAAACCTAGAAGTTACAGAAGAAATTGCAGAGAAAAAAGAGAGAAGTAAACAAAAAAATTTGCAGAAGCTTTTAACGATGCAACTGTAAATGAAAGTGGGGGACTCTGTATTTATAGAAGGAAGAACGCTGCAAGTTTCAAAGGGAAGAATTTTAAATTTTTACAAAATTGATGAATTTTTTATATAAAATTAAAATTTTATTTGTTAATTTTATAAACAATATCAAAATTGAAAATTTTTAAAATATATTAAATAATTTTATAATTTATAAATAAATAAAATATAATTTTATAATTTAATAAGTCCATAAATATTAAAAATTTTGAGACTTACGACAATACGTAACTGGTCAAAGCGGACAATAACAGCTACAGTAGGTTTGAACTATCATATGTCAAATACGCTAACGTTCTATTAAATACAAAATTAAAAATTCACCGAATCTATTACACTTATTTTTTAAGTGCTCGACTAAATGATACAAATATGAAAATTAAAAAAATTAAACTATATAAATATAAAAAAGAGCCGTCATTTTTATATTTAGATTTTTATTTTGATGGTCGGTTTTACTTTTACTATGTTGATAAGACACCGGTTATATTTTATAAAGTTAATTTGATTCTCGATAATATTTTATTAATAGTTTAAAGCAACTAATTTATTGATTTTTTTTTCAATTTTTTAGTCCAACATCTTAGAACCCATGAGAGTCGTGTTCATCTAACATGGTATTAGAGTCAGACACCAGATTATGTGCCAACAAGGAGGTTGTTCCACAAAGGGGTAGACACGAGACGGTGTGCCAGTAAGGACGTTGAGCCTCAAAGGGGGTGGATTGTGATGTCCCATATTGGTTGGGGAGGAGAACAAAACACCCTTTATAAGGATATGGAAACGGTCCTTTCCCTCACATAAGCGTTTTAAAGCCTAACGAGGACAGTATCTATAAGAGAGAGAGTAATTAGTGTCTTAATCATTTAAATAATACTTACAATATTTTTAGATTTTTTAATTAAATTATTATATATTATTTAAAATAGAAAATAACATCAGCAATAAAATTTATAAGGGGAATAAATTCTTTTTGTGAGAAAAATAAAAAGTAATTCTTTTTCTTTTTGGAAAGTAAAAAAAAAAATGACAAATTTTTAAGATTAAAGTTTATAAATATATTTTCATCGTTTTTTTTTCCCTATTTTTAAAAAATTTTAAAACATAAAATTAAAAATAAATTAGAGCCTTAATAATTATAAATATTTTTTAGAATTTAAATTATCAAAAAGTTATTTTGAAAATTTATAAACATTCATTTGTTTAATACTTATTATAAAACATTTAATTTATTTATATATATATATTTTCCAATCTTACCCAAATTAATTATTTGGGAGGTTGTCGTTGTTATATAGTTGGGATCTGATTCTAATTTTTAAAGATCACGTAAACTCGTTGAATAGAAAATCCATCGAATATTATTTTAAATCGAGCATAACTTAATGAATAAGATATGAATTATCATTTGAAAAAAATAGATATGTATTGTATAATTCAAGTTAGCTTATCGAGTTAAGAGACCTAAGAGTTTGGAGACGTTGAAAATGTGTAATTTTGTTTTGTGTTCGAGAAATAAAATAAGATTATTTGAAAATTTAATGCAATGACACATAAGTAATTTTATCGTTGTTTAATATAATTTTTTTTTTATTAAGCTAAAGTGTTTTTGCTTTTTGTATGATCGATAATGTGACGTTTATATTTTATATTGAGAGTTTTGATTTAAAATAATTCATAAACTTTTGGGTTTTAGATTATTTATGTAATCTTGATTTAGATTATAATCTTTTTGAATTTATAATTTTACCCTTAAAAATGTTAAAAGTTCTCAATGATGTCGTGTTCATATGACCCAATAACTCGATCGACTTGGACTATCCATCTCAATTTAAGTTGGTTTTCGGGTTGACATTTTTTTTTTCCGAGTTAACCCAACCAACTCGAAAATAGGGTCGCAACCCAATCCAACTCTACCTTTATTTTTGGGCTATTATTATGAATATTATGAATATTAAGAATAATTTTTTTTGTTTATTTATTTATTTATTTTGGGTTGTTACAAATGGTATGAGAGTTGGACAACAGACAGATGTGCCAACTTTCTTGCTGTTCTCGAAAGGGTAGATACGAGGCGATGTGCTAGTAAGAGCGCTGGGCTCCAAAAGGAGTGGATTTGGCGGGAGCCCCACATCGATTGAAGAAAGTAAGGAGTGTGAAAGGACGCTGGCCCCAAAGGGGGTGAATTGTGATGTCCCACATTGGTGCCAACGAGGACACTAGGCACCAAAGAGGGTGAATTGTGATATCCCACATTGGTTGAGGAGGAGAACAAAACACCCTTTATAACGTGAAAGAGTGTGGAAACCTTTCCCTAGTAGACGCGTTTTAAAACCTTGAGGAGGAGCCCAAAAAAGACAATATCTACTAGTTATGGATCTGAACCGTTACGATATTTGACGTTTATAACCAATATTAATGTTGCATTGGGTGTTTTTGATCTAACTCATTTAATTTGGTAGACAAACAAATTTAAATTAATAAATTTGTGTGAAATAATTTTAGAAAATTTCATAAAAACCTATTAAATAAATAATTCCATAACTTTGACAAGGGCATAAAAGGAAAAAAGGAAAATATCCCTCCATATCATACAACCAATTGAATAAATGTTGTAATATATCATTGATGAATAAATTCATGAAATCCAAAAACCAATTGGAGTGTTCAACAAAAAAAAAGTTAACACTTCTCATGAGTATTAAATTTACATGGTCAACATTCAATCAATCAAACACGAAACTTCTTATCGTACAAACATCGAAACAAAAAACACAAAAAACAAACACATATTTATGTTGCTAACGATTTTACTCCGATCAATTCCTTGTAGCTAATGGGATTCTTTTTGTTTCTTTCTACGGTTGCTTGCTATTCTATTTTTTTCATCGAACGCTTCGTTACTCGTCAAAAAAACCGATTTCGGAATCGGTTGATTCCAAAAGCATCCTTTTGGGACAAAAAAGTTGACTTACTACACCTAAGTTAAAGATGTGAAAGATAAAAAGAATCTAGTGGGCATAGAGTGTTCTATTCATATTCAAAATTTTGACAATTCAAAGGGTTTTGATTATGAAAAAAAAAAAAAAACCATATTCTTTCTTGTTTTCATTCAACTAAAAAATGAGTAGTGAATCTGAAGTTTAGTACTTTTTGACAATAAGATGATAGCTTACAGATCTAAAATGCGTTGCCCTTGTTGTGTAAGCTTTTACTTGTTCTTCCTTCCACAAGGAGATTGACTCGACTCTTAACTGATATTTTCTGCAAAAGGAGAAAGTTTGTAACAAGATTTGTTAGTACTTATCAATTCTATCGACTTGCGCCGAGCTGGTTGGGTTCGAATATGCTTGAAGAAATTAACAGAAAGTAGACATCAAACAGACTTTGAAGGCAGCATTGTCGAAAAGGGAGAAAAGGTGATAACAAGATGGATCACACACGAGACTTGTTAGCTATTGATAGATAATTACATCTCCTTATCATGATTTTGTGACACACATATAGCTAATCCAGTGTTCCAAGTCGTGAACCGGGAGGCGGTTGTAAACGAAAAATTACAAGTTCAGCAAAGTTTCTAGTAAATCATGAAGTTTATAAAACTCTGGATATGTTAGCACTCTACTAGACACAAATGTCAAGATTCAAATACTTTTAAAAGCTCAGAGATCTAATTGAAACAACCAGAGATCTAATTGAAACAACACGAAAGTCAAGAGACTAAATTTGTAATTTAGCCTTAATCATATGATTTTACGGGAAGAAAGAGCTGCAAAAAACTAATAAAAGAAACAATAACAAAGCTTCGGTTAGATTCTTACATCAATTCTTCGCCTTACTAGAGTTGTTTTCCTTAATCCTTGCTCGAGTATCCAACTTAACAAAGCGCTTGAGATCCTCGTAGGGAAGCGTTTTGGCATCCTTCCTTCGTAATTCACTAAGAGCTGGACGCTTATCGATCAAACGCCACAGCCAATCAGGGTACTCTGAGTCTGCCATGACTTTTGGATCTGCACCTTCCTTAAGAATATTGGCACCAACTACAGTGGTAGATTTGACCTCTTTACTTAGAATTGATGCTTTAGGAGCATCAGTAGCCGCACCCCCTTTAGAACCCTTCTTTTTGCCCCCAGCAGCAAATGTTCGCACATTTGTCAGTTTTATCAGATCTTTGGTATTCAGAAGGCTTCTTCTAAACAATCTAATTTGGCTCATAGCCATTTTTCCTTCTGCAACTCATAACACCATTATCATCAAACAGACATACTCAATAATTCACAAGACATTGTGTTAGGAGCTGAAATTCTTAGTTACACTAGAATCTAATAATGATTTTGGAAAAGAGATGTAAGCAAACAGTAAACAGAACTTTTATTATTCAGAATCTGCTGGTTTACAAATAGAAAGTAGCATTTATTTGTCTTCAATGGATAGTTGAACAAATTAAAGGGATATAACTCCTAATCCCTGCATCAACAACTATTAGAATAGGAGGTTTACTGTTTAAAACTTTTGGACCCTCATTTTCCTTCAAAATCATATTAATAAGCCTACAAGTTTGGCATGGTAAATCAAACAGATATTGAAACGCGAAGCGGAGTTTGAGAATCTGCAGCCTAATAGTTCAAGTTTTTGGAGTCTACAGGTGATTAACGGTAGGAAAATCAAAATCTGTTTTTATCTTAAACTAGAAATCTAACCTAAAAAATCCAGAAAAAATGAACCAACCCAATTCAAATTGGTTGAGTCCTCATGATAAGCAGCCAAGATTAGGAATCTCCACAAAGAACAGCCAACTAAGTCCAAATTAGAACTACATCACGAAGATAAAATTACAGTCTCACATGACGAAAGATCTTGCGTTCGATTACGAAAGAAATACAGTGAACCTAGAGAAATGAAAGAAGGAATAAGATGATAACAAGGAGGAGGACGAGGAAGATACCTGCAGGAGAAGAAAGCAACAGAAATGGTGGAGATTGAGAATGAGAATTGGAGCTTGAAGAATTCGGCAATGGCAGAAGAGAAAAAGAGATGCACCTGACACAGCACGTTAGAACTTAGGGCTTCGACTGCGGACTCTTCTTTCTTTCTTTCTTTTATTTTCGTTAAATTAGGATTTTTTTTTTTTTTAATGTTTATTTGCTATTTTTATCTTTTATTTTTTATTTTATGTTCGATAAATTTATTAATTTTCGATATATTAGATGTAAATTTGGAGAAATTAATTTTTTTAAAAAAACTAAAAATAATATCTTAAACTTAAAAAAAAAAAAAATTCTTTTCATAGTAACCAAATAATAAATTTGTTTTCCTTTTTCGTCTCATAATTTTTAAATAAAATTAATAATTTTATCTACTATCTATAAATTGACAAAACTGATGAAATAAAATGAGAGAGATACTATATTTTTTTTATAAATATCTCTCCCTTTATTTTATTTAATTTATTTTGTATTTATCGATTTTATCGATATCTAGATAATTATATATATCGATATAATCTATATAATTTTAAAGGGTAGAATATTTTATTTCAAAAACACCTGTTTGAAATATGCCTCAAACTTTTTTTTTTTTTTTAATATCCTTAACTTTTTTAAAAAGGATTGTGTTTAAAAAAATATGAAAAAAAAAATTATTAACGTCGATTATTTCTAAATTTTTTAATGTTACTTTTTTTTTTAAAACTCAATGATATTTTTATTACAGAATATTAATTTTTAGAACACTTTCGAATATTAAAAGAGTATTTTTTAAACACTTCTTAGAAGTTTAAAGATATTTTCTAAACAAAATATTGAAGATATTAATCCATATTAAAAGAGTGTTTTCTAAGCAAAATATTGAGGGATGTTGAGGATATTAATCCTGTACGATGTCGATATGAATTAATTATGGGTGGAGTCCTATAACAACCCGAGAACACTGCTACTAGATATTGTCACTAGATATTGTCTACTTTGACCTGTTACGTATAATCGTTAGCTTTACAGTTTTACTTTGGCCCATTACGTATAGTCCTTAGCCTCACAGTTTTACTTTGACCCGTTATGTAGAGTCGTTAGCCTCACAGTTTTACTTTGGCCCGTTATGTATAGTTGTTAGCCTCACGTATAACAGCCCGAGGACGCTGCAACTAGATATTGTCTACTACTGGGGAGAGATTTCCACACTGCACGTGAAATCTCCAAATCCAAACGTGAAATCTCAAATCCATTCTTTTTAGAGTTTTCCACACTCTAATAAGTAATGTTTCACGTGAAATCTCCAAATCTTCTTTCTAAAGTTTGGTCGGTTTCTTTCCTGCTAAATAGAAAGTTTGTAACAAGTTATCCTTCATCTCCCTTTACTAGAGATGTATACTATCTTGTCAAAGGTATAGAGAGTGAAACTATAGAATCTTTCGAACATTTCAAACGCCACCTTGATACCTATAGTCCTTTAGAGTCCTTTCCATCAAGTCAAAAGTCGTACGAGATACCTACATATATAGTTATCAAGTTCAAGAAATTTCGGGTTCGGAGATCAAACCTTCATATAAGATACATTACAAAGAGAAACAAACATGAGTTGTAAGCTTGAATGGAAGCAAAATGTGTATGGAATAATAGCACAACAACCTTAAATTACTCAAAAATGTTCAGATTTACCTCTTTTAACTCTATCCTAAGCCTTATCATCTATTGACATTGTTGAAAACCCTTGGCTTTCTATCAAGTTCTCTATGATCTTCTTCAGTGCTGGGGCACTTACCCTACATTTCTGGTCACCAAAGCAGGACCTTCCTTCTTCTGCTGCCTTACAAAGCTGTGGATCCAATGGCACCTTCCCTAGAAATGGCACCCCCATCTCCCTACACATTTTTGCAGCCCCACCCCCACTGCTATCGAACACTTCGCTGCAAGTAATCAAATTCAGCAGCTCGGGCGCTTTTTCTCGGATGTACTCTGCTGCCCATTCCGTTACATCTACCTGCTCCTCTGTCTCAGTTGCCTTTAGAAACTTCAGATCTAACAGTGGTTGAGTCAAGCCACTCATGTTCTCTACGACACCAAGGACTTTGACGCCGACTTTTTTGCAGAAACTCACTTCTTTGCGCACGTCGATGAGAGAAACTTGTTGTGGGGTGGTGACTATGATTGCGCCATCGATTCCAGTAGCTTCGAGACATTGTACGATTGAAATGTGTTCATCTGAAGTGCCTGGTGGGGCGTCGACAATCAGAAAGTCGAGTTCTCCCCAGTACACATCCTTTAGAAACTGCTTAATGAGCCCATTTTTTCGAGGGCCTCTCCAAATGACAGCGTCGTCGGGGTTAGGGAGCATGAATCCTATTGACATAACTCCAAGGTTGGACTCTATGTAAACAGGGGACCATCCAAGGTTGCTCTGATGCACATCTTGACCTTCTAGGCCTAGCATCTTTGGTATACTTGGGCCACATATATCGATGTCCATGAGACCGACCTGGAAGTCCATGGCAGCTAGCGCAAATGAAAGCTGGGCAGAGAACGTGCTCTTTCCAACCCCGCCCTTCCCTGATAGAACTAGAATCTTGTGCTTAACCGTTGCCATTCGTTCAGCTATCGAAACCAGATCTGAAAACAGGAGTGGCAGAATTTTTCAACAGAACATAAACACACAGACAGATAATAGATTCTATTAACGTATTCATATGTAGGGTTTAGAAAACCAAACAGGTCTAAACAGTAATTCCCTTCAAAATTCAAGAAGCAATTTGCTAAAAGCAGCAATACAAAGGAAGGAGATGGTGTTAATATTGGTCATTGGGAATAGGAATCAAAATTCGTGAACGGAATGACACATTATCCACTAGGGTAAAGCCCACAACTAGCCGTATTGTCCCTTTGGACTTTCCCTTTCAGGCTTTCCCTCAAAGTTTTTGAAACGTGTCTATTAGGAAAAGGTTTCCACACCCTTATAAAAAATGCTTCATTCTTCTCCTCAACTGATGTGGGTTCTCACAATCTCATTCGTGGTAAATAGGTCATCGGGAAAGACAAGCAAGACATGGCTACACGGAATGAAAACAATCATCACGTGTCGTCATTGTCAGTATTTTTCAATGTATGTAACGATTTTACTCAAAGGCCACTCCTATTTCTTTCTAACCAAATAATTTCAACCCTTTCTATTTAACATATTAATACACAACAAGAGGAGGAAAAATCCATTTCCTCTTCTTTGACTTTCTCTTGCGTATTTTTAAACATAGATGAGAAAATCGAAACATAGATGAGAAAAATCGAAACGAGAAGTAACCCTACATGCATACCCAAAAGAAAAAGGCACATGGAGAAATAAGGTACAAAACCAAACAAGGCAACTTCCGAAGCAGCAAGCAAAAAGTACTTCTACTCGATACAATACATCATAAAAAATAAAACAAATGGACTAAATGATCGAATTCAATACAAGGATCATGATGGACAAAAGCTTAAAAATGAATAGAACCAAAATAGTATTTAATCCCGCTTAAATCCACCTTGATATCCATTTTGGGATAGGCTAAGCTCTCAGTCCTAGGTGTCAGAATCACACTCTTAGGCTAGCGATTGTGCATCACTTGTTCTAACCTAACGAACAAATCAGTCGTGTGAAATTCGGACTTCACGTACAATATCGGCGTATGCTCGAGCCTTGGGTCACGTTTGAGAGAAATATTTTGAAAAACGTAAGCGAGGAAATACGTTGAAAACAATTGTATAGAAAGCACTGGTATAAGCCAAATCGAGTAGGTAACAACAACAGGTTTGATAACATATAACCTGAGTGGGAAGAATTGACAACTAGTCACCCTCAAAAAAGAGGTTTAAAACAGGCATGTGGCCACGGACAACACATCCCGGACAAGCATAAATAGGACTCAATTGACATTCATGTTAGCCTCAAGAACCATCTAATCAGAGTAAACCAATCAGCCCAAAAAGCCTATAAGCTATAATCACAAAGCAATCATGTAACCTGAGCAGGAAGAATTGACTAGTCACCCTCAAAAAAGGGTTTAAAACAGGCATGTGGCCATGGACAACACATCCCGGACAAGCATAAACAGGACTCAATTGACATTCATGTTAGCCTCAAGAACCATCTAAAATCAGAGTAAACCAATCAGCCCTAAAAGCCTATAAGCTATAATCACAAAGCAATCACTCTCTAAAAACCAATCCAAATTCAAAAACAGATTCGTAGGGTTTATGGAGACGAAACAGAACCTGGATCAGGGCCTTTAGGAGCAGTAGCACAAATTGATTGGTTGGGACATCCTTGGCAAGCGTCTGATTTCCCTGCCGACTCCGATTGAGGACCTGGGCAATCTGAAATCCAAAACCCCCCCACAAAGATAACATCAACCAAAATATAATACAAAACGAAACAGAGCTGATCAGATAAATAATCCACCAACGACGAAGAAGACGAACAAAAAGAACGGGAATTTCATTACTTTCATTAGCATCTTCAGGAATTTCGCCGTTCTCCATTGGCTCCAACTCCTCCGTCAACAACGATGAGAGGCTCTTTCCGGTAGGGTTCTGTTTTTCGTGTATATATATATATATATATATATATAATTATTATTATTTTATTTTACTAAGTCGGCTTAGTTTTTTATTTTTTATTTATTTTTTCAGAGAAAAAATAGCTTTAGTTATCCCCATCCGCCGTACAGTTGATAGATTAAATTTAAATATTCATACTTATTTTAAAAGTTACATAATAATAATGATTTAAATTTAAATTTTTGAATTAAATTTAAAAGAATATATTTTACATGGTTGACTTTTTATATAATATTTTAATATAGTTTTAAAATATTTACGTAATATTGGAATTTTCAGTTAATAATATTTTTTTTTATATATAATTTAACTTATTAAATTATATAAAATTCCCTTGAATTTTGAAGTGTAACTTTGTAACCTTTCATTTTTACTCTTAATTTAAAAAATTCAATAAATCCTTAAACTTTGAAATTTAATATATATATATATATATATATATATAGAATTAAATTTAAAAGAATAATATTTTACCAGGTTGACTTTTTATATAATATTTTAATATAGTTTTAAAATATTTACATAATATTGGAATTTTGAGTTAATAATATTTTTTTATATAATTTAACTTATTAAATTATATAAAATACCCTTGAATTTTATTTTTACTCTTAATTAAAAAAAATCAATAATATCCTTAAACTTTGAAATTTAATATATATATATATATATATATATATATATATAGTGACAATAATTTTCATAATAAAAAATAAATTATTATAATTTTACTAAGAAGGAAATTTGATTATTACTACTATTATTATTAGCATTATTAGGATTATTAGGATTAGCATTATTAGTTAGCATTGGCCACACTAAATTTCTTATTTTGATTCCACTCTGCACTGCTGCATATCAGGATTTTACAAGCACATAAACATTGTCTACAATGTGGGAGGGATCCAAATGTAGCCATCGGATTGAACATAACCAGCTTTTTCGAGTAGCTCATCGGCCTTCACCGGACCTCGGCTCCCCTTTTTGTATGGAAGTGACTTCAGCTCTCCCTTGTCGATTCTGTGCAGCAATGGCGTGAAGATCTCCCAGGCAGCCTGGACACGACAAAACTGTTGGTGAGAAAGGTTTGTCCGTGAATGTATAATTCGTTAGTGTTGAACATTACCTTTAGCTCGTCTCGACGAACGAAATGCTGCTGGTCGCCCTTTATTCTGCGAGTGTTGTAATGTCGTTAATGGCTGTTACCTTGTAAAGTATATGAATGTTATAAATGGCAACGGGTAGGACTTACGTGTCGAGGATGAGACGCTCGTATGCCTCTGGGATTATAATGTCTTGATAACGTTGGCGATAGGACAAATCTAATTCACTCTGCACAGTTGACATTTCCAGTCCAGGTGTCTTGACCTGCAAAGTCCATGGCAAAGAAGATAAGGAGTAGAACTCGTGAACCAGGTTGCGTTGTTAAGTGTTTTCAATCAAGGTAGTTGGTAACTAGGTACGGAGTCGAGATATTGGGATTTGAAGGAGCATGGTGACCCCAAGGAGTACAACATTGAGGAACGTTATATATGCGTAACACATTCATTCAAATCTAACTGGACCAACCACTTGATGAAACCTTTCACCGTGCCATACGATTCTTTCGCCAAGCGAGAAACCCTGGAACTAAAAATTGGCAACCCTAAGCCACCCGGTGGTCTTATATATACGTGATACATTCAAATCTAACTAGACAAAAAAACTCGGTGGTCTTTTTATCAGCGATCGACACAAACCCTAGATCTATGCCCTTGATGAAAGTTTTTACCGTGCCACACGATTACTTCACCAAGCGAGAAACCCTGGAATTAAAAATGGGCAATCTTGAACCACCCGACCCAATAGTACCCTATTTTTGGAACGTCCAGTGTCAAAGTCTCGATTCGATTCCAATCAAAATGCTAGTTTCAGGCAGTCATTGACATTATTAGCATGAAGTGTTAAGCCACAAACAGAAAAATGTGTAACTGAGCTGTAGAGTAAGTATTTCTAATTCTGTCAAACAATCACACCATTTAATATCACTACCAGATGCCATTTCAAGCATTATAAACACTACTAATGGTGAGGTTAGCTGATAAGAATATTTTTCATACCATAAGCTTCATGTACATGGCCTCCGAAGGTTGCAAGCGAATCACGAACTCGTTCCTCCCTTGTTTTTTGCCTGCCTCATGAACATTGATCGATTTTGAGCAACTAAACAAGAACATTTGAAATACGCGTGCACACATGAGATTAATCTCAATATGATATCGTTCTAGATCGGAGGCCTTACATTTGAAAATATCACCGGGAACATCCTTGAACTGAACTCGAATCTCGGCTTTTCTCGAGTTCAATGCTTTCCCTGCCTTCATTATAAACGGGACACCTGAAAAGAAACATATGAAAGACTGACATGATCAACTTTACGAAGAACACATAAGTTGTCCTAAAGGAAGGGATTATAAATTCGAAAAGCGTTCTTACCCTCCCATCTTTCATTATGTATCCTCAGCACCATAGTTGCAAAGGTTGGTGTATTTGAGTGATCAGGAACTGTAGGATCGTCCGTGTAACCTTCATATTGGCCAAGAACTACCTCCTCGTCGTTAATTGGCAGCACAGACTGAAGCACCTGTACCAACGTGACCAACAGCGTTAGCGAGTAGAAAAAGAGGATTAAAATTCGATATCACTCTTAACGAACTTGAGAAACGTGTATCAATATACATATCGAAGATTTTATTTATATCATAAATGCTACTCGGAGCCTTCTGGCCGAGGGCACGTCTGCCTGGACATCACTTGTTGCTGCAAAAAAGGAATACAAATAGACTTCTTTTAGTTTGAATTCCTACCTTTACTTTCTCATCTCGGACATGCTCGGGTTTGAGGGAAATAGGTCTTTCCATAGCAACCAAACAAAGAACCTGAGAGTTCAGAAAGAAATAAATAACTTTTAAACGTGCAGCAGTGCAACAATTAACCAATATTGTGAGACCGAGTCTAATCAATTATTTAAGAGCATGAGTAGAGGATAAATGAAACTGTATTTCATTTTCGGTTTTCTAGGAACCAAAAACATTTTAACTCGAAAGAAATTTCTCACCTGTAATAGATGATTTTGAATGATATCGCGAATAATCCTGCAGAACGAAAATTGAATCAGTGACTAGTTTAGATTAATAAGTTTTCATACAAGGAATGACACTATGGTTCATTTAAAAGTAAGTCTAAGTGTTCAACAACATAAAAGATCATACCCGTATTGATCAAAATATCCACCACGCCCCTCGGTCCCAAAATCCTCCCTGAACACGATCTGGTGGGGAAAAAAGGATTAGTGCATAACCAATGCGGCCGATTATATCAAAATAACCAATAAAAACGTAAATTCTCACCTGTACATTATCAATGTTGTCACGGTTCCAAAGGGGCATGAAAAAGCGGTTTGCAAAACGAAGTACCAACTGAAAATTCAGATCATGCAAGAAAATACATGAGGCTTTGAAAAACCAGAGACAACAAATAATATCTTGTTCATATGTATATTACCAGATTTTGAACCAATTCCTTCCCGAGATAGTGATCGATACGGTAAATTTGCGGTTCATCGAACAATTCACCGATTTGGGAACTTAGCGTCTCCGCAGATGCCAAGTCCTTGCCAAAAGGTTTCTCCACAACAATCCGGGTCCATCCACCAAGATCAGCTGACAAAAGGATTGAACGACCTCTAATAATCAATATCCAGACACAGACAGAAGCCAACCATGACAATAATCTGCACTTTCTTACATTTATTCATACAATAATGCTTGATCATCTTGCATACCGATGGATATACCGATGGAGGAAGTGCAAGATAGAACAGCCTACGAGATGATCCCTCTATACTATTTTTCAAAACCTCGTGCTCTGAGATTTCCTTATCCAACTTCTGAAAACCTTCCGCAGAATCATACGAACCACTGACATATTTGATCTGCAAAAATTATTGCATTTATGCAAGAGTGATTCTATTGGGTACATACTGATAGTAAGACAGTAATCGTGCATATACAGGGTAGCACTAACCAACTGCAGAAACTTGGGTACTTCTTCTAATTGCTTCGAGTCGGCAGTTTTGCCTTTGACAAGATACCTGCAACAATTATTCATGTTGAGCAACCCCTAATGACAGCTAAAGTCGACATAAGTTAAACAAAATATAACAACAGGAAAAATGCTTGAAACATAATCCATTGAAGTATCAAAGCGGAATTAGAGTTTTTAACTACGATCGAAGTAAAAATAAATAGACGCCCAAAACATCAGTGATTAATTGTGAAGTCAAGCCCACCGCTAGCAAATATTGTCATTTTTGGGCTTTCCCTTCAGGACTTCCCCTCAAAGTTTTTAAAACACGTCTGCTAGGGAGAGGTTTCCACATCCTTATAAAGAATGTTTTGTTCTCCTCCCCAACCGATGTGGGATCTCACAATCCACCCCCCTGAGGACCCAACGTTCTCGCTGACACTCATTCCCCTCTCCGATCGATGCGAGATCTTACACAGTGATTCTAGTAAGTTAACTCAATCAAATAAAGAATGACAATAGGATTAAAACAAGAGAAAAGCTCCATATCTTACCCGCGTATGCGATCTCTTAGATCATCATCA